GGTCCCTACAATGATCACTGGGGGGCGCAAATAATGAGGCACCTCCTCTTCTTCATCATCACAGGTTTCTCTTCTCATCTGTGCGACGCTATGCACTGTGGACAACCAAGACAACAAATTCTCAAGATTTGTTTCCCCATTTGGGTTTTCCAAATCAACATCACGAGACCCTTGTCTCACACAGGGTTTGGCTGTGTCATGCAATGACTTGCTGAGGTTGCACACCAAGATATATAGCGCACGTGATGATAAAAATACAGGATGGGATGCATAATACAGGTGTTGTCCAGCAAAATCCCACAGTTCAATACTGACAACAGATTCCTCAGGCTTAACATCTTCACCTTTCATGTACTTTATTAAATTTACAGTTCGATCCTTGATCTCCTCTGAAGGTGAAGTAGTATCAACCACTAACTCATGATCAGGTCCTGTTAATGTGAGTTCACTAACACTGTCTTCGTTTGGATCACCAACCTGTAGCAGATTACGAAAAAAAACAAACAAACAAAAGAACTGTTGATTCTGATTCTAAAAGACGTACGGTAGCTGGCTCGATTTTGGGGGTGAAGAGAAATAGTAGAGTAAGAAAAAACGACATAACGCCATTTTCTGGGGCAAAATAATTGAGAAAGTAGGTTTCTTCGACGGAATAATGAGTTCTTTTTCACTGGAACAAGAACGCTGTTAGTAACGTTGAGTCTCGCTTGCTTGGAGATAAGTTTTGTTGTCAAAGGCACCGGTGCTGTCATCCTACTTTTTCGTTTGAAATACAAAACGAATGTTATATGTCATAATGTAAATACTCAAAAAGTAAAAATTGCAAGGAGAGACAGGCCGCACAACTTAGCCTCAAACTGGTGTGAAACCTTTTGAAAACCTTCTACATATTGATATTGCTCTTTTGAGGAGTACTCTTTCGGGGATTTTACACTCAAAAAATTCACCGATGATTTTTATCGGTATCAGGGGCCCATGACTCTGTCAGTATAAATATTCATAGCTCCTTTGTACCGGACCAAAGTACGGCCCGGTACAGTATATGTTCAGCACAGGAAAAATGTGTAAGTTTAACAGAACCTTATACAACACAAAGTTAATTCAGTTCGCGCGTATTTCTGCTGAATTTGTTGTCCTCTTTATAAGATATCAATACCGCGTGAAAATAATTACATTTTCCATAGCTGCTTAGTATCTACTTTTAATATTTTCGTACAGTCTCAGAGTACAATGTTTAGAGTTGTGCACAGCATGCATTTTAGATAGATAGATAAGAACTTTATTTTAGCACGATAAAAATATCAACATTGCTGGTGGGGTCGTGCATACAACAATTACAAGAAAAATAAGGAGCACTGAAAGCAAATGTACAATTAAAAAGTTAAAAACTGTTCAAGTTTTTTCTTTTATTACAGTATCACTGGGATAAAGCGTTTCATTTTCCCGGAAAATTTCACTTTCTCGTCAAAACAATGCACTGACTCAGACAGACTCGGATTAGTTTACTTGAATTTAGTGTTCAATACAGCCAACGGGGTTATGTTCTGTGAAATTTATCTACAGTCTGCGGCCCACATCACCACTGATCCACCATTTATTTATTCATTTTATTTTCAAGTTCTTTTTAACCGATCCTCAATCCCTAATTCCTCGATCCTCGATCCTGATTTTCCAATAAACCTTGAAGTTTTGCTGATTAAGATTATTCTTTTTGTTTTCGACCACTGAAGTGATCAGTTGTTGTTCCAAAATAATCAACACATTCAAGCGATAGAATTCTTGGACCAACCCGTTCCGGAAAAGCTCGATATGGGATGTCTATTCTGTGGACATGAGGTGCTGTAAGTAGATGCGCGGATAGTCAAGTTCAAAGCTACTCATATAAACACATCCGTGACACATACGTAACGTTAGGGTGAATTTCCACTGACGCGTTTTTGGCTCCGTACGTTAACGCACGCAAATTTTAATCACGTTAATAAAATAGGGGTAAGATATAAAGTGTTGAGATTAAACGTCAAGTTGAGCGAGTTTCTACTTTTACGCTTACATAATTGTAACTGCGACCTTTCATACATTGCCTCTATTTTATTTGCAAACGCAAATTTTACGCACGTACGCACGTAAAAGATACTTGATATCTCAAGTATTTATAAAGTGCAACACGACTTCACATCTTAACAACTGCGAAAATCTATCAATTAAATACATAAAACAAAGTGAATCTATTTAACCGTAGATTTCCGAAAGTAATTGAGGCAATATTCTGAGAAACGTAACGCCTTAAAACACCACAAAATAGGATTTCCCCGCTATTATATTTTCTCACCCTACTTGGGGATATTTCCTTTTTAATCAGTGCCTGCATGTCGTGCATATTATACGAAAACCAAGGGCCTCCATTCGAGGAAAATTACATCAGTGCCCAACTTCAGTCATCGCCGAAAATATACCGCATGCTCATCACGAGACTCATTTGCATACAGTGAAAGTCGCCACGATTCCTATCCCCAGTTTCCACGGTCTTCGCTAGGAACGCGTGGCCTACAAACTAGGTCCCACCGACAAGAAAAAAGAAACGACTGCATTTTTAGAGTCTCGCTCTGCTAAAGCAAGCTCGACTAATAATGGAATAACGTAAATTTTCCAGCTGGAATAATGAACACCGGATTATTCCTCTTCATCCCCCTGATTCGATTATTCAGCCATTTAAAGTTGTTATGGATAACAGAAAATTCTTTATAAGTTCAAACATTGAGGTACAATTATTGGAGGAATGAGGTATCCAAAACATTAATATGCTCCTGCATTTTTCAAGGAACAGTAAATTCAAGAATATATAGAAATATGGTGTTTGATTGAGTCCCCCCAATCCCTTGGCCTTGCTCCTCGCATAAAAAGGAAAACAGCATAGGGAAATTGTGATTGGCAAAAAAAAAAAACTTAGCGAAAGAAAAACTCAAAGACTAATNAGAATATATAGAAATATGGTGTTTGATTGAGTCCCCCCAATCCCTTGGCCTTGCTCCTCGCATAAAAAGGAAAACAGCATAGGGAAATTGTGATTGGCAAAAAAAAAAAACTTAGCGAAAGCAAAACTCAAAGACTAATTAACACTTAAAAGTATAAATAAAGAAACGGCTGTACTCAGTTTGGTTTGTACACGCACTAATGACCCAAAGGCTAAGCTTATGTGTAGATGGGTACAATCATGGAAATATAACAAAATGGTTGATAGTAATATCATTCTTCACTCGAAACTGAACTTATCAGACAAGTTTAAAAAAGGTTAAATTTTTAACCAGCACTGAAAAAGACCCCACGATCTGGCAATTATTACATATTTTCCATACGAACATCGCAGTAAAAAGCAGGGAAGCCGTGGTGAGTTTCTCACTAAAACCTAACTTATGAAGGCAATAATCAATTCATAATAATTACTGTTAGGAAATTATTGACGTAACGAAGGATTCACGAACAAACATCACATTTTAAAACCAATCAAGACAAACCTGGTTCACAAGAGTAACTTCTTCCTCTTCTGCATCAGCACCAACCTGTTTGCTATTCTTGTTATGATCATTTTGAAGAATTGCATCACCTCTTTCCTCCTCCTGAACCCAATCACGGTTAACTGAAGTATCATTCATCTTTTCCACTACCACCTGTGCCACATCTTTCAAACATCCTAGCAACCCTTGTTTTCTCTCATCAATAGGTTGCCAATTCCTGACTTCATCAACGTCCAACTGAAATTTTGATGGATCCACTTCAATTCCATCAGTACTTTTTTCTTTTGGATTAAACGGTAGACCAATGAGAGACTTCTTCAAACTTGTTTTTCCTGCTCGATCCTGCCCAATAATCAATACTCTACCACGGTAAACATTAACAGCTCCATCTTTCAGAGCACTTTGATAAGCGAGCTGTGCTTTTTCTCCGCGTGCTTCTATTTCTAAAGGAGCTAGTGAAAAAAAAAAAACGAATACTTATTAAAGGTAAGTAATGTCTTAGAGGTTGCGTAGTTCATTGGCTTCTACTTCACTTGACTGACCTAGGAGGTGAAGGGAGGGAGGGGGGAGGGTTAATTTCTATCAGAGACTTAGTCTTACACCAGTGTTAATTGTCCTTCCTGTGATCTTTCAGCATGGTCTTTTAAGTTACTAACACAAATCTATAATAAACATAGTTTTACCCAATTTCAAATGTGACAGATAGAATTAAATGTTGGTTATTTTTAACTCTTTTAAACAATCCACCTGCTATCTTAAACTTGTTTTTCTTAATGCGCTTACTTTTCAGGTCTTCATGCATGTTCAAAATACCATAAATGATTATGTTTCGCGTCATCAGAATTATAAGTGTTGTTTACATTCATGTAAAATACCTGTCCCTCTAAGGAAAAAAAATCAATTATTCTAAACATCAAAGAACTAACTTCGTTCCAATAAGCGCCCACTCTCTAATAAGCGCCCCCATCTCGGATGAGTTTTTATTAATAAGCGCTCCCACTCTAATAAGCACCCCTATTGCATAAGCACCCTCATTCCAAGCGCCCCAATACCAATAAGCGCTGCTATTCAATAACGACAATAACCGACTATTGTTAGATTCCTTGACTTTCACTCAAATAAACAGGGACTGCCATTGGTTGATTCTTGGTCACATAGCCTTGACTAAAATCAAATGTATCCCGATCGTGATACATTTGAGCAATTGTACCCCGCTCGGGATACATTACAGCACGTGACCAAACCATGGTGGAAGGTGGCGTGACAGGAGACTGGAAAAACACGGCCAGTTTTCTTTATCGTGAATGAACACAACAACACAAACATGAAGCCTCAAGCTAAAAAGCAACGATTATTATCAAAGTTATCTCAGAAGAGAAACAGCAGCTAGAGGAGGAAAAAGATGCAGATAATATAAGGAAAGTACTTTGTAAAACATTCATTCATCCCCCTGATCCTGTTTATGACCCTGTTGGTGTCCTTGAATATATGTCGGAAACATGTCATCAGACCCTTGCTGACGATCCGAACATTAAGATCATAATTGCGGGTTACATTAATCACTTGAATATCAAAGAACTACGGTGGCCCAGAAGAGTCAATTTTTAATTTGCATGTCCTATTTTTAATTTGCAGCAACATTTTTAATTTGCAGGTAAAATTTTTAGTTTGCAGCAACATTTTTAATTTGCATGTGTGACCCTTCTGGGCCACCGTAAAGAACTCATGCGGCAGTAGGCCATGCAACAATTGGTTATGGCCCCTACTAGGGGGGATCGCATCTTAGATGTTCTTCTTACCAACGGCCCATTCCTTTGGAAAAAGGAACAGTACACAAAGGACTTGTAAGATCTAACCACCTTGTTGTCATTGTACCGCCCTTAGTACCTGGTAAACCCAGTAAGAAATTTGTTAGCTTTAGAGATACCCGCGACCTTCACAAAATTGCTATGGATGTGAAGTTAGAGGTGTGCGACTGGTCAGATATCCTTGGCTTGGATGACCTGAAGAGTGCGTAAGGGTGTTGAATGATAGATTATGGACAATGTTTGATGAAAGTTTTCCCCGCATCAGGGTCAAGGTGTCGTCCAGGGACCCGCCCTTCATGTCCCCGCTCGTGAAAGATCTTTGCAATATTAGGAACAAGAGATCACACACCTGCAGTGTGGCAGAAAACATCACGCGACAGGGGAGAATTAATTTTCTCATTTGCTGGAGTCAAGTGAATGCTGTCAATAATGAAAGCAAGGAACACGCTAGGCGCGTTAAGGCTCGTGGGACATCGCGAACAGGATTACCGATAGAAAGAGTTAGTAATTAAAAGTGATTCGTCCTGATGTTATCAATGCATACTTTCAATCTATTAATACTGACGAGGCGTATAGAGCTACAGTTCGATCTGCAGATACTTGACGGATGCCAGGCACCTACAATGATGAACATTCAGTCAGGAATTTTATAATTAATCACAAAAGAACAGCACCGGGGCCGGATGAATTTCCGAAAATGGCTCTGGCGTGATTACGCCCACCATCTTGCCCCTGTTATTATCAAGATTTTCAACAGCTCTCTTAGACATCAAGTAGTCCCTTATTTGTGGAAACTAACGAACGTCTCACCCATTCCAAAAGAGTCACCATTGCAATCAGCTGAGACCTATCTCATTAACTAACATCATGATGTGAATATTTGAAAGGCTTGTCTGTAAACTGAACTATCTCCTAACCTAAAACCACAAATCAGATCTGATCAGTTTGCCTACAAGGAGGGTCACAATACTATTATGGCCCTCATTAAATGTCAACATCACTGGTTAGGATGGCTGGACATGGAAGCTGACTTCGCTAAGATATATTCCTTTGATTTTAGTAAAGCTTTGATTCGGTCTCGCATGAAATAGTGCATAACAAGTTGGGATCGTACAACATTAATCAATATGTTATCAACTGGATAATAAGCTTCTTGAGTAATCGAAAGCAAAGGGTTGTAGTTGATGACGTGTCAACAAAAATTGTGGACATCAATAGAGGAGTCCCACAAGTAACTGTGTTAGGTCCTGACTTGTTTTCTATTATGGTAAATGACATCATAGCCGCAAATCCAAACAAGAATCTTCTCTTGAAGTATACTGGCGACATCACTTTGAGTGTCCCTATATATAACATCTAATACTCTGCACTTATCTTTAGTCGAGGTGCAGAATATCCAACGCTGGTCTATTGAGAATTGTATAACCTTGAACCTCAGGAAGACGTGGGAAATGGTGGTTAGAGGAAATACTAAGAAACCAATCTCGGAACCCATGAAAGATATTGAGAGGAAGGGGGAACGCAAGTTATTAGGAGTGACATTTACAGAGCTACCATGCAACTGCGACACGCATTTCGATCATAACATTCATTCTAAGGCTAGTTCCAGATTATATATTTTAAGAGTTTGTAAATATTATGGATACTGTGAAAATGAATTACTCAGCATGTCGCGAGCTTGGGACAAATAAAAAATCTGAGTCCCCGACAGGATTCGAACCTAAGACCTCCCAAACACCGGGCGGGTGCTCTATAGAGTGTTTTCACTCACGTGGCCAGTATCTATGCAAATTTATTGGAACAAAAAAAAAGCTTTTGCATATGTTGTACTGTGTGGTAAAAGAATGAAAGATGGCAAATTTTAAGCTGATTAATTCATTTTCGCATTTGTTTCACCGAGCTTAAAATTTACCCTTTACCATTTATTTCAATAGGGTGCATAATTACAGTTGTACTGTATTCTCCCTTAATAGGATTGATTTCCACTTTCGCGTAATTTTTACGTGCGTGCGCGCGTAAAATTTACGTTCGCAATAAAATAGAGGCAATGTACGAAAGGTTGCACGTAAGCGTAAAAGTAGAACCTCGCTTAACTTCACGTTTTATCTCAACACTTTATATCTAGCCTCTACTTTATTTACGTGATTAAAATTTACGTGCCTTAACGTACGCAGCCAAAAACGCGTCAGTGGAAATCAACCTTTATGGCCCTATGAAACAACTGAAATACTAAAATCCTTAAATACTAAAATACTAAGGTAATAAATAATTTAAATATAAAGGAATATAAGGAAGGAAAGGAAGGAAAGGGGGAATATCAGGAAGGAAAGTTCCATGGGAACATATCTTTTGTCAGCTTGAAGATGAGTCCCAACTACGAATTCAACGTTTTGTTTGGCTTCTTTCCCTTTCCTGCTGCCAGAGACTCTCCTTTAGTTGGAGACCATGTCGCTTTGTGGCCATGATGACCTCGTATCATACAAGCAGACGAAAATTCGCCTTTATAAACAAGCTTCGAACTCCAAATCAAGGGATTTTCAGAACGAGCCATGATCGTACACGTTTGCTAATTCTTGCCTATAAGGTGCTCTGCTCCTGTTTTATGGTTCTAGAGTTTTGTTTCCCGATCTAAAAGAGATAGACGCCCTGTCTCTAATAAGCGCCCTCATTTGAGAAACCATTAGTATATAAGCGCTCCAGGCGCTAAATAGAGTCATTACGCTAAATAATTTAATAATGTAGAATTGTGTTTTGTTTAGATCATTCTGTACTTTGTTTCCACCTCCCTAGGCGTTATGCCTTTTAAGCTGGGGGGAAGGTTTGGTTGGCTTCGTGATCCTCGAGGCTATTCCAGTTGGGACCACAGTCCCTGCTGGGTAATTCAACCGTGCTGGGCAGGTTTCAGTTGAAAGACAAGACACCTGGCCCTCCAGATTGAGGGGTTAGGCAATTTACTTACATTATTACCATGCATGCTGACAGGGAGAACCACAACAACTAAGTTGCAAAACAAACCTAAGTGAAGCTAGTTGTGACTCATAATCATTGTGAAATAGTTATAGTTTAGATCACGAAGAGTGCTTTCTAAGGCTTAAACACAGAAAATCAAGCCATCTTCTTTAATTTGAAACTTGAACAGCGAGCTTACTAAACAGCTCAAAACTCCTCACCCTTTATGGTAGTCTGTTTATTCTTCTGTAACAATAATTTTTGTATTCAATACATATTGTGTTCAGCGGCCAAACTTCCATAATTAAAACATGACAAAATCACATCATCCATTAAACTCTGCGGTTGTGTTATCACTGGGATAATGTTTGCTAGATAAAGCCAGCAAAGTCCAGAAACACAGCGAAAACACCTCCTCTTGTGTTAGCGAGTTATACATGCTCACTGTTTTCAAGAGCAAAAATAAGGGATTTCCTCGTCTTTATGAGTGGAAAATTACTCAAAAGTTAGACAACCTCGCGAGATGTTATAACTTATCCTAATAAATGCCGCAGCCAATCGCGTTGCGCGTTGTGACAGACGCCTGCCAAGTGTTGAAATAATCTGAAAAAATTGTTTTCCAACCCTTGCTTCGGGGTTGGGGCCAACGAGACAAAAAAAAATGTGTTCAAATGTTTTTTGGAATGTTTCCCTGCTTTCCCTGAACTGCTCGCGCCAAAGATGATGTTGATATTGAATCAAGAAGCTGTTGGAACCAGAACTGTCGTCTTGATTAAAGCCCGTCGTGCCCAAGCGATGAAAGTCAGTCATCGGAAACCAATCAATATAATCAATACAATCAATAAAAATTAATCGATTAATATATAGATTTAGCCAGGGCTAAAAGCGAAGCTCCTATTAACTCGAATTTATAATTCAAATCAAACAATAAACTTGTATTCCACAAATCAGTTAACTTTAGAGCACATTCATGTGACTTTTGAGGGAAAGACTACGTGATTTTCGAGAAAAATAATTTGCAAACAGTCCAAGCTAAGAGTGAACTTCATCTTACATCGAGTTGATAGCCTTTATATGTACACCCAAAAAATAGCAATCATCTTCGATCACATTTAAGAGCCATAATGGCTCTTGATCACAGTAGATTAGGCCTGGAAAACACCTGCGCCGTTTTCATCATACAGACCTCGGACAGAATGCAGTGTTTCACAATTTTGCAATACAAATTGCACTCATTCAATATTCAGGACGATCAAAGCACGTGTGGGCTTTTAGCGAAATCGTCAAAAAAATTTCCAAAATCACCTATACGGCTAGCCAGTTCTCACTTTTGACAAGTCGACTGTTTAAATTAAGATTAATATAGTTATACGCTTCAACACAATAAAGAATTTATTATAAAGATCTGTAATCTTCAAAAGCGTTTGATACGCGCGGCATTTTGACTACTCTTGCAAGCGATGTTCATGAGCGACTGAAAACAAACGGCACAGCGATTAAAATTGCAAAAGAGACTACTTACAATCAATAAAGAAAGGGAAAATAATTCGGTGAAACATATACAGAGACAACAATTTTCATTCACGAAGACAAGTATTACACATGTAAAGTGTCTCTGAAAATCCTTGTTTACGTTTTAAGCCGGCTTCCCGGTGTTTGCTTTTTTCAAAGACGAACTCGAGGCAAGAAAATCGCTCAAAGCTTTCTTTTACAGCCAGAATTGTAACCAAATATTCTTTGGAACGTTTTCTTTCTATTTGCGGTGAGAAAATGTCTAAAGGCTTTTTAAAGTTCCATAAGCTGATAATCAAACCTGATACTCGGTCACTCTCGGTCAGATCATTGTCTCAAATCTTACAAACGTGCATAAACCAAATAGCCGCGTAAACTACGCTCGACTTCATTAAATTAGATATAAAAAACAAACAAATACAATAATTACTCAGGCTTACCTTTTGAGATGCACTGAAAACTATCAAGTAAGGCCAGAACCGCTTCAGACTTTTCAACCGTCTTACGCATCAAGCAAGGTGAAAAACGAAAACGATGCCATCCGAATCGGATTTCCGACTTTGCCAAAGCGACGTATTT